TGCCACCATTCAGCTGAAGACGGAGTTTTGAGAAAGAGTGAACGTCTAAGTGCACAAACCCTCTGTAGGAGACATAGGTGGACCCAAACGGCGGCGCTGGGCCTTCCACCCCCTCCTCCCGTCCGGGCGGCACAGGCACCAGTGCTGCAAAAGTCCGGGTCTAAAACTAAAACTAAAGTCCGGGTCCAACATTTGAATTGCCGCCGTTCCATGTTCAGTTGCACAGCGGCCCGGTCGCGATTTTATGGTGCGTGGCGCAGTGTGGTGCGTGGCGTGGTCGATTCTCGGTATGGTGCGTGGCGTTGATGTCACGTTCTTTTTTTTCCTGTTTTTCCTGCGATGTTGGTGAGGAGGGGAAGTGCGTGTGTCTTTTTTGTGTTTATTTCTAGGAGCATGACTGAATTTGGGTTGAGCGGAAAATATGTCGCATAGCAGGTTCACGTTACGATTGGTTCAGGTTGAAAATATGCAAATTTTCAGTTCATTAGAAAATTGAAAGCATTGATTGAGCAGTCGTCTTCTAAAAACTCCATGTTCATTTGCATATATAATTTGCGGTTCAGGTCCGAGTTGCTAATGATTCTAGGGTTCAGGAGCTGCCTGAGGCTGTGGTTGGGGAGCGGAGGGCTGAATTTAAAATTTTTATCTCGCATGTGCATAGTGAATGTGCCTGCAAAGTTTCAGCTTTCTACGTCGCCTGGTTCGCAAAATCGTTTCCCGCCAGCAAATTTCTTTGGGGTCTCGTGCGCGGGGTTTAGGCGAGTATGGGGGAAGAACAGAAAACGGAAGGATGACACACGGGGTAGGAACATATATCCGAAGTTTCAGCCTCCCAGCTTTCCTGGTTGTCGAGTTGAAAGTGGGTGACAAAATGCATTCGCTTTCCGAACACACACACAGAAAGCCTCTCGATAATATGCGTTTTTGTTTTAGCGCTGCTATAGCGCTGCACAGCAAAAACGCATAAAAAAGGAGGGAAAAGTACTCTTTTCTTGGAAATCGTGTGTTAAAATTCTGGTATAATTAAAGAGTTAGTTAATGAGGGATTTTGTTCTCATCAGTTATCAAACCAATTAGGCATAGGTGCTCACTGAATCATAGTAAAATGATTAAGAAGTGATCACCACACATCTTCCAAGCGATCTTGATACTCCTGATATCAACCAGTAAACACTGGTAGTAAACACCCGTTGCCTTACTCATATGTAAGCGCAAAGCCAAAAACAGCCGTATCGATATGAATACCACTTAATGATATTCGGCACATCACTAATTAATGATGGTAATGATAAAGAAACTTAATAATTGGTTAATTTTGCCTTTTCAACCAGCTCAACTCACCTTCAGAAATCGCTCAGCTGTTTTTGTGCCTACCTCTCGGTCATTGTCATCGTTCCTGGAATAACATAAGCTTTCAACAAAAGTACATCAAGTGCCGATGAAATGCTGACTTATGCTAGATTGATCAGCAGTATTTCTGTATCTGTTTTTATACAAGAAAAAATCGTTGAAAAGTAGACTTTTTGAGTTTTCAGCATTTTTCGAAATCCCAAAATTTGATTCAACGGATGGATGCGTAACTCAGCTCAGTGGATGGGAATACCAAGTTTCAGCTCCTATCTAAAAAAACCCAGTCTTTAGCATATGTTTTGTAAGGGTAACAAGTAAGACCATATTCTTTAGTCTATTCCATCTCCTTTAAATATGGGCTATTAAATACAATTTGGTAAATTGGATATTACTTTTTGTTTAATTTTAATATGGGCACATCATTTTCGAAGAAACAAACAGCCACGTGGGCAGCCACTAAAGATGTGCTCTATATGTGCGCATAACCGGAAAGTACTAATTAGAGGTATCAGTCCAGAAACGAAGAGTTTGGCATGACTGTATCCAGCGTGTAGGAGCGTCACACAACATCGCTAACTTGGACACTGTCAGTGATGTAGCTCCTACCAATCGCCTGCGCGGTTTCAGTATTCAAAATATACTCTTCCTCAGTTGTTAAATATACATACCCATTGGGATAATGAGTTAATACCATAGAATATTTAAACTTATTGTACTTTTAAAGTTAGCACTTTTACTTTGTTAACACTTTGAAGGTTAACACTTGTACTTTCAAACCATTTACAC